GCAGGCCTTCGACGACACGGCGGTCAGCGCGTTGTGGCGCGCTGCTGCGACGCCCTGGTGTGGAGGAAGACTCGAGGACGGCGCTGAACTCTCAGGCCTTCAGCGTGTTCTGTGGCAGCTTCGTTTCCTCCTCCTCCTCCTCCTCCTCCTTCTCCTCCTCCCCCTCCTCCGCCTCCCCCTCCTCCTCCTCCTCCTCCTCCTCCTCCTCCTCCTCCTCCTCCTCCTCCTCCTCCTCCTCCTCCGCGCTCCGCCTCCGCCTCCGCCTCCGCTTCCGCCTCCTCCTCCTCCTCCTCCTCTCCTCTCCTCCGCCTCCGCCTCCCCCTCGCCCTCCGCCTCCGCCCTCCTCGTCCTCCTCCTCCTCCTCCGCCTCCTCCGCCTCCTCCCCTCCTCCGCCTCCTCCTCCTCCTCCTCCTCCTACTCCTCCTTGGGGAGGACCTCATGGCGGACCTGCGCCCAGAGGAGCCCACAGCGGCACATGTGGCCCCGCGAGCGGCGCACAGCCCCCGTTGCGCTGCGCGACGCCGGGCGTACTGAGGAGGTGTGTGCACGATGGGGACGTTCGCACGGACTTACAGTTCCTCCTGCACCCGGCGGCGAGCGCGGGAGGGAAGTGAGAAGGAGGAGGCCTTCTCAGAAGACCGGAGCGCTTCTTAGAAGGCACGCCGCCTTCTGAGAAGGCCTCCTACTTCTCACTTCCACCCCTCGCTCGCCGCCGATTCACACCACCCATCCTGCACTCGTCGGTGTACGACGCGTTGTGCACTGCGCCATCGACGACGTTCGATCGCAATTAGCACTTCCATCTGCTGCTCGCGCTTGAGGAATTTCTGCGCCGCCGACTCAAAAAGTGCACGACGCAGGCACGCGGTCGAGTCCGCCTTCCACCGCCACTGGGGATGCGAGTATGACGTGTGCTCCGCGGCGTACGAGGCCAACTCCACCTGCGTTGCCACGCTGCCACGCCCTATACGCCGAAGCCCGCGCAGTCCCGTGCTTCTGGCTCCGAGGGATAGTCCACGGCAGGCGTCGACGACATGTTCCTTGGGCACGACGAGAGCTATGTCTTCGGAGACGCGGGTGGCGGGCCAGAGCATCGGCATCCCCAGCTGCGTCGTGCGGGGTCAGTCTCGTCGTCGTCGACGCCGCCTTCCTGACCACCGCCAAGGTAACGCATGCGCCCCTGCCAGGCGGGAGGCAGACAGCCCATCGTGGCGAGCTGCTGGGCCTCATCCGCTGTGTGGACCGCAATTCTGCCCTCGGCATCTACGTGACGGACAACTTGGCGGTGCACGACCGCTGGTGGCTACGGCTCGGGCAAGCAGCCCATGGCCCTGACCATCATCTCCGGTGGCGGCTCAGCCGTGCGCAAAAGGGCCGGCAGCTAGCCTGCCGCAGCGCCATCACCGTCATCCACGTGACCTCGCACCTGGACTCGGAGCTGGCGGCGCCGCGCGGCGGCACGGGCGCCCTGGTGCGCGGGAAAACCGCGGCCGACGAGGCTGCAGGATGCACCGCGAGAGCTGCGCGCCTCCCTGCTGGCGAGCTCGCGCGCGCTGCCCAGACTGAGGCGCTGGCGCCCGCGGTGTGGTGGAGGCTGCCGCGGCCCACGCTGGACGACGTGGACGCGACCCCGCGGCGCCAGGCGCGAGGCCGCCGGCCGCGCCGGCTGCCCCCTGCCGCTGGCGCTGCGGCTGTGCCAGCGTGCGGGGTGCCGGCGGCCGCACCTGCCGGGCATGCCGCTGCTCGGCCTCGGAGGCGAGGCGCGCGCACCGAGCGGCTGGCACTCCGTGTTGGCCGTCGGTTCGCGGTGGCGGCGGCACCTTCGAGGTGGCCCCCGGGGGGGCCCTGCGCGCAGGTCGGCGGCCAGACGGCCGACCCCTGTCACCACGTGATGCTGCTGGACGCGGTCGGCGTCCGAGAGTGCGGCGCCTGCGGCTTCTTCGCCCCTGTGGGCGGCCGCGCCCTTGGAGCGGGCCTGGTGGCAGCGTGCCCTCCGACCCCCTCTGCCACGGGCGGCGAGTACCTGAAGCGGACGGCGCGGGGCCTGCGGCCCAAGGCGGACAGGCGCCCCGCGGGCGCCAAGGTGTCCAACCCGTCGACGAGATGCGTGGCCAAGTGGAGGAGGCGGCCGCCGCCGCCTGCGTCTGACCTGCTGGCCGCTGTGGACTTCTTCGACTGCACCTCCTTCCTCGAACTCTTCGTGGGCTCGGAGGGGGGCCCGCGCGCGCGCCCCGCGCGCCGCGCCCGGGCCCCGGCGGTCTCGGCTTTGTGCGGCGACCGGGCGAGCGACTCTCAAGCAAATCTCCTCCTCCTCCCTCCCTCCCACCCTGCTCCTGGGGTGGAGGCGGGCGTGGCGGCCGCCAGCGCGAGGCGGGCGCGGGCAGGCCTGGAGCTGCTCCGCCTCGGGCCCGGGGGGCCCTCCGCCCAGCGCCGAATTTCCCCCTCGAGGTCTCCTGTCTCTGTCCTCCTTCGTCACCTCCTCCTCCTCGACTTCGTCATC